AAGGGTCTGCTTATAGGAGAACGTTTGCGGGTAAAAACGACAAAATATTTTATCTGAAGTGCCTTTCGTTTAGACAGTGACGATGTTTTTGGAGCTTAAAAATGCAAAAATCTGAAACCGCCTCCAGAGCGGAAAAGTTGAATACACTCTACTATAGTGTTTCCGTCTACACTGCCCAAGACACAAAACTCTGGTCAGATCTGCTCAGGTTGTGTACGCATTTACGTCACATACATCACCACCGAGCGTCTGGCATGCAGACCCAATCCAATTCCACACACTTTAGCGTCACCGTATGCATGCAGATTTCCTTCCGAAAACGCTCATCTAAACGCAGAATAAAAAGTGAAAATGCAACGTCCTTTTTGCATCTTCTGTTCAGACCGTCATCATATAAACGTCGCCTAAACACAGTTAATTTTAGAAGCTGAATTAGTTGAAGTTGCCATTAAATTATTAGGTTAATTAAAAGTCTAAAATAACAATGTTGATTGCTACGTGAACAGAGGATGGCACAGAACCACTCAGACCCGGTCCATTGCGCACTGGTCTTGCTCGCCCCCATCTGGAACGAGCACATGGAGGACGGAGCCTCTGGTCCAATCTAAACGGCCGCTGGTCGAAGGAAAAGGGTCCGAACAAAGCACGCAGACCATGACGTAACCCCCCCCCAACCAACAAGAGACAAACACAACAGCGAAAATCTGCTCTTGCCCTTGACTGAACAGTGAAGCAGCGAATTACAAGAGGCGTATTTACTCGTAATAGTAAACAACAGTGTGTTTTAGAAAGTTCCAGAAGGGAGGCTTTTACATTGTGTTAAACCCAAAGAAGAAATAAAGTAAATGTGTCACTAATTGTAAACATTGCATAACAGTAATGCAATACACCAGGTAAGAATGTGATAAGTATAAAATGTAAATATATAAAAATGGTACAATGCACTTATATAGATTACTAAAAGGAAATAATCTTACATACACAAAGGAAATCAAAGTGCTTTATAGAATAAGAAAGACATGAAGATCACAATACAAACAAATCAAAACCACAAAATTAAAATTACAAGAAAAGGATATTACAATTACAAAGCGAACTACGATAAATTACATGTTGATGAAAACAACAGTGGCCTGAAAACAAAGCCTTGAGGGACACCCCTGAAGTGACTTTTACAATACATACATCCTGAATTTTGGACTGCCAGTATCGCACAATTCATACTGGGAAGGATCCTCTGAAAAAGTGGGCATCAAGCTATTTTAGTTATGGGAATCGGACATCGTAATTGTGTGGTTGTTGGATCCTAACAGCAGAAAATGACTCGAGAAATGGGCTTCGGAAGTTTGTGAACTCCATAAATGCAAAAGTGAATCAGATGTGTGTGACTGCAAACCTCCGTTCAAACTGTTTCTCTTCCCAACCGAATTGGAAAATAGTGAAAGGTGAAGGCGATGGGCAGGATTGATCCACAGGAAGAACCAAAAAGGAAAACTTTGTCTGTCTAAGAAATCATCCTGAGTTTACAGAGAACATTTTGTATGTGGAGCAACAACAAAACAAAATCCTGTTTGTTAATGGAGAGGTGCAGAAGACAAACAGACTGAGCTGAACTTTCTTTTTCTTGTGGTTTTACAGCAACATCACGTCTTGGTCTCTTTGCAGTGGAAGGTGTTTCTTGGTGAACAGTTGTAGCCTTTCACTTTGGCGTTGACTTTTTAAATTCATAGCCAAGGTTGAGCGACGGATCAGGATTTTGTTTTGTTGTCGCTCCACGTACAAAATGTTCTCTGTAAACTCCGGATGATTTCTCAGACAGCCAAAGTTTTCCTTTTTGGTTCTTCCTGTGGATCAATCCTGCCCATCACCTTCACCTTTCACTATTTTTCAGTTCTGTTGGGAAGAGAAACAGTTTGAACAGAGGTTTGAGTCACACACATCTGATTCACTTTTACATTTATGGAGATTGCAAACTTCCAAAGCCCATTTCTCAACTCGTTTTCTGCTGTTAGAACATCCAACAACCACACAATAACGATGTCCGAATCCCAAAACTCAAATATGACAATATCAGAACCAGAAACAAAAGTGATATGGTTCAAAAGACTTGAAAAGATCGACTTTGTCAATAGACACATCCCACTGGGAAAACAAACATGGAGGTTTGATGCTCACTTTTTCAGAAAATCCTTCCCAGTTTGCTTTGTGCGATGACCGGAAGTCCGAAATTCAAGATGCATGTATACAGTCTCCTTTAGCTCAAATACATTATTGTGAGAGGAGAGACTTTGTTTTATTGCTGAGTTTCAGACGCCATCACAACATTCTATCAGCCAATAATATTTAACACAGACGAGGGCAGATAAAATGAGTATTGTTAAAATGTAGATTTCTTGTTGTAATACAGAGAGTTCTTGGGTCTAGTCACTAACAGAACATAAATAATCATCATAAAATAAAATAAAAAGAGAAGAATAAAAACCTTTCAGACGTATGTGCAGCTCAACAGAACAGTTTTGAGCTGGATTTAAACATTGTCAAAGCTTTTTTTTTTTTTTTTTTTTTTTTACTTTAACCATTATAATGTTGTCTCTTTATCAGAAACTGTACTTGACTTGTGTTTTGTATCATTTGTCTGACTAGTCCTGTACATTTAGACTTATTTAAAGATGCACTGCTTTCTTTTCTTAATCTAAACTATGAAGAGTAAAGTTTGATGTGTTGTTTTTATTATTGTAACACTATCATATGATGCACTGCACATTTTGTGGCGTTTCAAATGACAATTAAGCAAATGATAAATCTTGACCCAAAAGTAAAAGCAGCAGATCCTTGTGTTCAGTCTTGTGGTTTCTTTTTCACTTGGCTGTAGATGTCGCTCTGCTCAGACTTTGCTGTGTTCTGTCGCTTCACTTCAGAGTAAGTTACGTCATCAATTTCTTTAACCTGTAAAAGTTCAAACAAAAAATTAGAAATAAGTGCTTCTCAATTATTATTATTAAAAAAAGAAGAAAACATTTCGTGCCCTCCACTCCACAGAACCACAACCAAAGTGGACAAATCACACCCTCGCCTTCAGTCGCCTACGTACGAGAGCAAACGTTTTACTCGCGTCTCCAAAAACGACTCCTCGTCGTTTGTTTCATTATCTCCGTCTTTCTCTGTCTTTCTTTTCATCACTGTTCAAGATTTTTCCATGGTGTCTCTGACCCTGCCTCAAGTGGAGGAGTTCAAGTATCTCGGGGTCTTGTTCTCGAGTGAGGGGAGGATGGAGCATGAGATTGACAGGTGGACAGGTGCAGCGTCGACAGTGATGTGGTCGCTGTGTTGGACCGTTGGGGTGAAGAGGAGCTGAGCCGAAAGGCAAAGCTCTCGATTTACCGTCAGTCTATGTTCCTCCCCTCACCTCTGGTCATGAGCTCTGGGTAATGACTGAAAGGACCAGATCACCGATTCAAGCGATTGAAATCAGTTTCCTCTGCAAGGTGTCTGGGTGCTCCCTTAGAGATAGGGTGCCTCCCTGGGGACGTATTTTAGGCATGTCCCACCGAGAGGAGGCCCCAGGGAAGACCCAGGACACACTGGAGGGACTATGTCCCTCGACTGGCCTGGGAACATCTCGGTGTCCCCCCGGAGGAATTGGAGGAAGTTTGAAAGGAAGAAAATGGATGGATGGGACTCCTGAGGGACCCAAGTTCACTGCACTTCATGTCTCCTGCTCTGTGCTGTGTGCAGACGCTTGGTACAAAAAACCCGACACTGTACTGCCAACTACTGCAGTGGATGTGCAATTACCCTTTATTCTAATACAGCAAAAAAAAACATGTTCAGACGTTTTTGTTGTGTATTTTTTGGATAAAAAGTTTCATACTGTGGCTTTAAGTGGCTTTTCTTTATATAAAAAAAAAAAAAAAAAAATATATAATATATATATATATATATATATATATATATATATATATATATATATATATATATATATATATATATATATATAGGGCGTACGATCCTGATCCTAAAGGATCCCTCAAAGGGTGCAGTCCCATCCAACTATCGGCCAATAACCTGTCTCTCCACAACATGGAAGCTCATGTCAGGCATCATTGCGGCTAAGATAAGCAGCACATGAATCAATACATGAGTGCAGCACAGAAGGGTATCGGCAAAAACACCAGGGGAGCCAAACACCAACTCCTGGTTGACCGAACAGTCGCCCGCGACTGCAGAACCCGTAAGACCAACCTGTGCACTGCCTGGATTGATTACAAGAAAGCCTATGACTCAATGCCACACACATGGATCACTGAGTGCTTGAAGCTGTACAATATCAACAGGACTCTAAGGGCGTTCATTGCGAACTCGATGCGGTTGTGGAAAACCACCCTTGAAGCCAAGGGGAAGCCACTTGCACATGTGTCCATCAAATGTGGCATATACCAAGGAGACTCACTGTCCCCACTACTGTTCTGCATAGGCCTGAACCCCCTCAGCCAAATAATCGACCGCACTGGCTATGGATACAGACTCAGAAACGGGGCCACCATCAGTCACCTCTTCTACATGGATGACATCAAGCTGTACGCTAAGAACAAGCGAGACATTGATTCACTGATCCACACCACAAGGATCTACAGTACAGACATTGGGATGTCATTCGGGCTTGAGAAATGTAGCAGGATGGTGACAAAGAGAGGGAAGGTAGTCCACACAGAGGGGGTGTCACTCCCAGAGGGAACAATAGCAGACAGTGAGGACAGTTACAAGTACCTTGGTATCCCACAAGCAAATGGCAACCTCGAAGAGGCAACAAGGAAAGTGGCTACGGCCAAATACCTGCAAAGAGTGAGGCAAGTCCTTAGAAGCAGCTCAATGGCAAGAACAAGGTGCAGGCAATCAACAGCTACGCCCTGCCAGTGATCAGATACCCTGCAGGGATTGTAAGCTGGACAAAGGAGGAGATACAGACCACAGATGTTAAGACACGAAAGCTCCTGACCATGCATGGAGGGTTCCATCCCAAATCCAGCACCCTGAGACTGTACGCAGGCCGGAAGGAAGGGGGCCGAGGACTTGTGAGTGTGGGAACCACTGTCCAGGATGAAACATCCAAGCTCCTTGAGTACATCAAGGACAAGGCCCCGGCAGATGAGGTGCTCAGAGAATGTCTCAGACAGTGGGGTCCAGAGGAAGAGGTGCTGGAGGGACCATCATGGCAGGACAAGCTCCTACATGGGGCGAACCACCGGAACATAACTGAAGTGGCTGATATCAAGAAATCCTACCAATGGCTTGAGAGGGCTGGTCTGAAGGACAGCACAGAGGCACTGATCCTGGCTGCTCAGGAGCAGGCCCTGGGCACTCGAGCAATAGAGGCCCAGATCTACCACACCAGACAAGACCCACGGTGTAGACTGTGCAAAGAGGCTCCTGAGACAGTCCAGCACATAACTGCAGGGTGTAAGATGCTGGCAGGGAAAGCAAACATGGAGCGACATAACCAAGTGGCGGCATAGTGTACAGAAACATCTGTGCAGAGTACGGGCTGGAGACCCCAGGATCAAGGTGGGACACACCTCCAAAGGTTGTGGAGAATGACCGAGCCAAGATCCTGTGGGACTTCCAGATACAGACTGACAGAATGGTGATGGCGAACCAACCAGACATAGTGGTGGTGGATAAGAAACAGAGCAGAGCCGTGGTGGTGGACATCGCAATACCAAGCGATGGTAATATCAGGAAAAAGGAACACGAGAAGCTAGAGAAATACCAGGGGCTCAAGGAAGAGCTGGAGAGAGCCTGGAAAGTAAAGGCATCAGTGGTGCCTGTGGTGATCGGACACTCGGGGCTGTAACCCCCAAACTGGAAGAGTCGCTTCAACAGATACCGGGAAAAACAATGGACATCTCAGTCCAGAAAAGTGCAGTACTGGGAACAGCAAAGATACTGCGCAGAACTCTCAAGCTCCCAGGCCTCTGGTAGAGGACCCGAGCTCAATGAGGGTGAGAGACCAACCACCGTGGAAGGTGAGAAACACATTTTTATTAATTTTTTTTGGTCTAATTAAATGTTATTCTTAATTTAAGTCATATTTGTATAAGTTATTATTTTTCACAGTTTATTTAATAAAAGACAAAATATAAACAAGAGAATGAACAGGGCAGAAATGTATTGTCAGTTTATCATTTTAGAAATATGTTCATGTAAACATTTTATTTGTCCTTTTTACCTGTATTTTAGCTCTGGGTGTGTGGTGCTCGATCATTGCATAAGTCATTCCGTTTTCTGGATCATTCTGTTAAAGAAAAAAAAGTTACACACAGTTCAGTGTTATATCCACTAGAGGGCGCTCTCTGATCACACAAGTCTATGTTTTCAGCTCGTTCCAGTCCATATTAACAATGACAACAAAACAACACATTTGGAGTCATTAAATCCAGATAATTCTACTGATAACTCCAGAAAGTATCGGCCTAATCACACAAAATGAACCTTTAGTTGACTTTAATTCTTGAATAAGGATTTGAGCACTCACCGTAGCATCAGCGGCAGGTGAGGCACCTGTCAAAACAAAGTCCTGTGTCAACAATTAGGATATTAAAGGACCTAATGTGAAAAACCTTTAAGATTTAACCATGTTTTATTCACTCATGATTAACTTGCTGTTTGTTCTGTTCTAATTGATTCATGTGTTAGTTGAATAATCCTGTAATGTTTTACATTTGAGGATTGAGTAAAAACACAAAACGCTCTGCTTTGTACAAACTTGTGATTATACAAAAGTTCTAGTAACACATGTGGGGTTCTGCTGTTTTGAACAGGAAGTCACTGGACCTGTTTCTGTGATTAAATTTATGGCAAAAATGTGAGAAAACAAAACTGTAAAAAGTAAAAATATATATTTGTTTTAGTTTAATCCTTAAACTGGCAGCATTAACTGGAACCTATTTTGATCACCATGTTAGCTTTTATTGTTTTGAAAATGCTATAGTCACCAAAAACAGAAAATTAAAATGTTTTTGACACTCCCCCTTCAGAGCTTTATCACAACACAATCGTCCCACTAATGAAACTCCTGCACATCACATCAGGTTTGTCCAGTTACTGTGTTCAGTTTTGTGTCATGTTTTTGTGTATTTATGGAGAATTGTCGTGTGGGAGCAGGAGGGACGTGACATCTAAAACCTCTTCAGGCATGTTTGTAGTGAGGGAACAACGTTGTAGCATGGGAGAAATAATGTAATTAATAATTTTCTAAAATTACACTAAATGACTGAAATACAAGAACTGGTAACTCATGAAAAGTATGAAGTCATGACATTTTAGTTCTGTGTTTTACCTTCTGTTTCTTCAATACTTTGTGTAGTTTTCTTTTTGGATTTTATTTTGAAAAACAGCCCCAGAGCTACAGCCAGGAGCACCAGCCCTCCACCCACGGCTGCAGAGATGATGTAGAGTGACAAAGAGGGATCTGTGGGAAACACATTCATGAACGATGAGTGAGAAGTCTTAAACGTGCTCTACCTGATGTTTACTGTCTTAAATACACGAGAAACAGAACGAGCTCTGTGTGCAGTGGTCCACAGTTCTTCACTTAGCCTCTGTAACTGGCGTCGGAGTTGCTTTGTGTTCATTCGGGCTTCAGTCGCTGCCTCGCTCAGCGTGATACTTAGTCTCTGGTTGGGGAGTTGGTGTTAACTCTCCTCTGACCTGGCGTCCTGGCTCCTCTTGCCGTAGCATTTGTGTTGTACCTTGTCAGCCTCTAGTTGTGATGCAGTTGCCGGTTGTGGAGGTTGGAACACTGAGCTACTAGTTGTTTGGCCATTAGCTTGGACTGTTGGTATCTTAATTACCATTTCTCCCACATCCTGTTCATGTAACCCCTCTGGCTTGGGTTACTGTAGTAGTAGCATTCCAACAGAGCCTTGTTCTCGCATCTCGCCCATTTCCTCCTTGTTCCATTTTTTATCAGGGTGCTCTGGTTCCCCAGCACCTGACGCAGACCTTGTTTGGTCAGGCGACATCTGAGCCGGCATCTCTTAAGTTTCATTGATCTGTCATCATTGTATGAAAGATCAGGAATGAGTGCTTGGAGTTGTACAAGATCAACAGGACTCTAAGGGCCTTCATTGCAAACTTGATGCGGTTGTGGAAAACCACCCTTAAAGCCAATGGGAAGCCACTTGCACAAGTGTCCATCAAATGTGGCATAAACCAAGGAGACACACTGTCCCCACTGCTGTTCTGCATCTGAACCCCTTCAGCCAAATCATCGACTGTGCTGGCTACGGACACTGATTCAGAAACGGGGCCACCATCAGTCACCTCCTCTACATGGATGACATCAAGCTGTACGCTAAGAACAAGCGAGACATCGACTCACTGATCTACACCACCAGGATCTACAGCACAGACGTTGGAATGTCATTCAGGCTTGAGAAATGTAGCAGGATGGTGACAAAGAGAGGGAAGGTAGTCCACACAGAGGGGGTCTCACTCCCAGAGGGAACAATAGCAGATGTTGAGGACAGTTACAAGTACCTTGGTATCCCACAAGAAAATGGCTCCTTGAAGAGGTCAAAATACCTGCAAAGAGTGAGACAAGTCCTAAGAAGCAGCTCAATGGCAAGAACAAGGCACAGGCAATAAATAGCTCCGCCCTGTCAGTGATCAGATCCCAGCAGGAATCATGCACTGGCCAAAGGAGGAGATACAGACCACAGATGTTAAGACACCAAAGCTCCTGACCTGCATGGAGGGTTCATCCCAAATCCAGCACCCTGAGACTGTACGCAGGCCGGAAGGAAGGAGGCCGAGGACTAGTGAGTGTGGGAACCACTGTCCAGGATGAAACATCCAAGCTCCATGAGAACATCAAGGACAAGGCCCCGACAGATGAGGTGCTCAGAGAATGTCTCAGACAGTGGGGTTCAGAGGAAGAGGAGCTGGAGGGACATGGCAGGACAAACACTACACGGGGCGAACCACCAGAACAGAACTGAAGTGGCTGATATTAAGAAATCCTACCAACGTCTTGAGAGGGCTGAAGGACACACAGAGGCTTATCCTGGAGCACAGGAGCAGGACCTGAGCACTCGAGCAATAGAGGCCCAGATCTACCACACCAGACAAGACCCACGGTGTAGACTGTGCAAAGAGGCTCCTGAGACAGTCCAGCACAGAACTGCAGGTGTAAGATGCTGCAGGGAAACAAACATGGAGCGACAGAACCAAGTGGCGGGCAAAGTGTACAGAAACATCTGTGCAGAGTACAGGCTGGAGACACCAGGGTCAAGGTGGGAAACACCTCCAAAGATTGTGGAGAAACGACCGAGCCAAGATCTTGTGGGACTTCCAGACACAGACTGACAGGACCGTGATGGACCAACCAGACATAGTGGTGGTGGAGAAGAACAGAGCAGAGCCGTGGTGGTGGACATCAGGAAGAAGGGACACGAGAAACTAGAGAAATACCAGGGGCTCAAAGAAGGCCTGGAAGGTGAAGGCATCAGTGGTGCCCATGGCGATTGGAGCACTCAGGGCTGTGACCCCCAAACTGGAAGAGGCTGCAGCAGATACCAGGGAAAAAAAACAAAAAACAGACATCTCAGTCCAGAAAAGTCTGGTATTAGGAACAGCAAAAATACTGAGCAGAACTCTCAGGCTCCCAGGCCTCTGGTAGAGGACCCGAGCTGGATGAGGGTGAGAGAGACCTACCACTGTGGAAGGTGAGGAACTCTTTTTTTTATGTATATAATTTCTTGTAATATGCCCATTGAGAACAAAATGGACATTCTACAAACTGTTCAATGTTCATGTTTTGATTGAAAATTTATACAACTGTGCTTTGAGTATACATGTAAACATGTAATTGAAAATAAGAGTGGACCTAAAACAAAGCCTTGCGGGTCCCCACTAAAAGGACATGCTAAAATGAGTGTTGTTGAAATGCTGATTTTTGTTGTAATATAGTAGCACAGTTTTAAGTCTAGTAGTTTCTAATATAAATTATCAGGTTAACAGTGAAGTACAGTGTTATCAATAGGAAAAACCCCGTGTGGAAGTACGATGTCATCACTGGAACCAGCAGGACGGAGGACAGAGCCACCTGACAAACCCACCCGGACTGGACCACGGAGCCTCTCCTTTGTCTGAACTCACGTATGGAGATGGTGCCATAAGACCAAACTCCCAGACCCGCCCAGACAGGAGAGACGGCGTTCTATGGTGAGATCTTCTACCGCATCTTTACCGCTGGTGACTGCGTCTGCTCAGGCTGGTGTGCAGAGACTTGTGTTCAGAGTTTTGCTGCTGTTTTGCTGGTTTATATTTAAAGCAATAAGCTTATGGTGATAACTCGGAAGTGTTTTGAAGTTTTAAAAGCGTAGCCTCAATAATAGACTATAGGTACCTAACAAACACACTTATGACTGCCAAACTTCAAAAATACACGTGATTTTTGACTCAACTGAAAACAAATACATTAAGGGACTGTACGTTTCATGCAGTTAAAACTCGTTTTCCTGTGCATTTTAGCATTTGCAGTCATGTCGTACGATATGTGCACATCCCACAGAGCTCATTTTTGTCATCAACCCAATATACACATCGATTTCACTGTATTTCAGTTTAGTAAATGAGAGCCAATAATTCTCTCCTCACTTGTGTTCCTCATCAGGCTGTACTCTGCAGACACCTGGACCCTGCCGTTGTTCTGGTACTGACAGGTGAAGGTCCTGATCTGTGGACTCTGGAGCTCCACTGTCAGATTAGACTCACAGTTCTTCTGAGTTACACCATCTCCAGACAGGACCACGCCGTTTATGTCCAACCAGAGAAAACTGTTCTGATAACAAGAAGAACTCCATAGTTTGCACTGTAAAGTTTTGTGTCCAGTTGGGGTTTGATTGAGGCTGGGCTGTGCTACAGAAACTGAAAAGAAAGGTGTTTTTATTATTATACATATTACTTGGTCATTTTAATGTTGTTAACTCTCAGATGTAACAAAACACAATATAGATGATGATAAAAATTTTCATTTAAATTGTTTAAAAGACTCAATTTACCAGAGAGGACACTCAGGTAGATAAATGTGAATGATTCATATTTATTTTGATTGTTCGGTGTTAGACAGAAGTATTCCCCGTAGTCTCCTTCAGTGATGTTCTTAATAGAGAGAGAACAGTCTGGATTCAGAGTCAGTCTGGTGGATCTGGGACTGTTCTCAATCTGACCATTCCAAACAAGAAATGTATCATTTCTGTTATCGTGACTCCAGTTCACTGTGGAACAGTTTGGCCCATAATGTTTTGCTCTGTCACAGAGCAGAGTGACGTCTTCTCCAGTTCTGTTGTACTGATAGATGTAAACGGTGTCTGGAGTGTCTCCTGAAAAGACTGAAACAAAACAAAACATATGCTGTAAGACTTCAGAATGAAAGCATCTCCATGAACAAAGCAAAAACACTAGACGTGCTCAGTGTTTGTGAAAAGAACACCAGAACTCTCTAAGGTCAGAAGGTCGACCTCTTTCCTGTAGTGAGTTTCGTCGCTCTTGGTGATGAGACCCATCAGAATTGTGTTGTTCATGGACTTCACAAGGTGGTTGTTGCTGTAGGCTGTTGTGCAGTCGTGTGTCAGCAGGGTGAAGAGCAGAGGACTGAGCATGCAGCCTTGGGGACCCCCGTGCTCAGAGTGATGGTGCTTGAGGTTTTGTTACCAACACGTTCTGCTTGTGTCTCTGTTGGAGGAAGTCTAGCAGTCAGTTGCAGAGGGAGGTGCAGAGACCAGCTTGTTGAGTTGGCCGATGAGTTGTTGTGGTATTTTGGTGTTGAATGTTGAACTGAAGTCTATGAACAGCATTCTCACATATGAGTCTTCATTGTCCAGATGGGTGAGGGCCGGTGGAGGCAGAGCAGATCATCCTCTGTGGAACATTTGGCTCAGTGAACTAGAAGGGGTCCAGGGTGGGGGGTGGGTTTACTGTGAGACATGACAAGCCGTTCAAAGCACTTCATGATTTCATGATGATGGCGTCGGTGCCACAGGGCTGTAGTCGTTGAAGCAGGATGGGGATGTTTTCTTTGGAACAGGTATTCTTTGGTATGATGGTGGCGGCTTTGAAGCAAGATGGGACAATGACTTGCTCCGTGTTGAAGATGTCTGTAAAGACTTCCTTTAGCTCCTCTGCACAATCCTTCAGCCCATGACCTGGGATGTTGTCTGGACCTGCTGCTTTGTGTGGGTTGATGGTGGTGAGTGTCGTCTTCACGCTGGAGGCAGACAGACATAGAGTCTAGTTGTGGAGAGGGGGTGTTGTTTTCTGTGGGTGGGTGTTGTTTTGTGCTTCAAAGTGTGCACAGGAGCTGTTCAGGTCGTTGAGCAGAGAGGTGCTGCAGCTCTGTGGTGCGGGCTTGTAGTCCATGATGGCCTGGATGCCCTGCCATAGGCTCTTTGCATCTCTGTTGTCCTTAAAGTGGGAGGTTTTCTTGTTTGTGTTCTTATTTGGGCTTTGTATGCTCATTTATGAGAAGTGCAAACCAGGTCCAGAATGGTTTATAATACAGCAAGACTTTAGGTCTAGTTTCTAATAGAAATGATCAGGTTCAGTGTTTGTGCATTTACCTTTTGGATATTTCACAGTAAAGTACAATGTAATTAACAGGAAAAAACATCTGGGAGTATGACATCATCACACCATTTTTGGCTCATCTGATTCTTAAAAAACAAATATATTAAGGGACAAAACATTTCAGGCAGTTAAAAGTTGTTTTCCTCTGCACTTTAGTGTTTGTTTAAAATGTGTGTGTGGTACGATTTGTGCACATCCCACAGAGCGTCTCATTTCTGTCATACACCAAATATACACACAGATTGCACTGTAAATGAGAGCCAATAATTCTCGCCTCACCTGTGTCCCCCCACAGGCTGTACTCTTCAGACACCTGGACCCTGTCGTTCTCCTGGTACTGACAGGTGAAGGTCCTGATCTGTGGACACTGGAGCTCCACTGTCAGATTAGACTCACAGTTCTTCTGAGTTACACCATCTCCAGACAGGACCACGCCGTTTATGTCCAACCAGAGAAAACTGTTCTGACTACAAGAAGGAAGTGAAAGGTATTTCCACAGTTTGCACTGTAAGGTGATGTGTCCAGTTGGGGTTTGGTCGAGGTTGGGTTGAGCTACGGAAACTGAAAAGAAAAAAGGTGTGTTTATTATTATATTAATTTGTCATTTTAATGTTGTTTCCTCAGAAAATAAGAAACCAGCATTTGTGTTTTGTTTCATAAAAATCCTTTGTTTTTTTCCCAGTTGGTCTAATTGGTCTCATTCTCATGCATAAACTCAAAACACTCTGTTCAACCATGTGAGGTCACAAGGTGGTGACACTTCAGGAGGTGTGATGTTGTGAACTTCAAATTCATTTTAACTCTCAGATGTAACAAAACACGATATAGATGATCTTTACAGCTGCTGTTTTCATTTAAATTGTTTAGAGACAACTTACCAGAGAGAACACTCAGGTAGATATATGTGACTGATTCATATTTATATTGATTGTTCAGTGTTCTACAGAAGTATTCCCCGTAGTCTCCTTCAGTGATGTTCTTAATAGAGAGAGAACAGTCTGGATTCAGAGTCAGTCTGGTGGATCTGGAACTGTTCTGAATCTGACCATTCCAAACCAGATCTGTATCTGTATATATCTTGTAGTGACTCCATTTCACTGTGGAACAATTTGGCCCATAATGTTTTACTCTGTCACAGAGCAGAGTGACGTCTTCTCCAGTTCTGTTGTACTGATAGATTTTGATGACCTCTACACTGTCTCCTGAAAAGACTGAAACAAAACAAAACCATATGATGTAAGACTTCAGAATGAAAGCACCTCCATGAACAAAGCAAAAACACTAGACGTGCTCAGTGTTTGTAAAAAGAACACCTGTATTCTCACAGGGCGAGTACAGGAGAGAACATTGGTTTTATAATTGTAAAAGTGTAGAGTTAGTGTGTAGATCGTTTCCCATTTGAGAGAAGAACTCAGCCTAAATATGTAGAGTTTATGTGTTAAACACGTGACAAAGAAAGAAAACACAAACCCAGGTCTGTTTTTGATCAGTAAACAACATTATAACATACACATACATAAAGGCCCTTTAAGTGGACCAATGTTTTGAGAGTAAAAAGTGATATTTCTGGGCTCAAATCCAATTCAAAGTGCACTTTGTTCCTAAACAACAGTCATATATTAACGTTAGCGCTGTGAGAAGCTGCGGCTGCTGCAGAGTATTGACATGGAGGTGAGATGTGTGCAGCCCGACCTTCTCCTGTGAACACAGTCTGTACAGGGAGGATGTATGGAACCAGGAACCTTTGTGCTTAAGGCAGGAACCTCGACCACTCTGCCACCACTGATCAGTCAGCTGTTAGTTTGGGGCAGCAGTCTCTGTGCTCAGAGACATGCTTTTATATCGGACACAAAACCCCATTGTAATAAAGTCGTATATTTTCAATTGTTCGTCCACCACGTCACAGTTTCAATAATGTTGCTTAGAAGTGGATTTTAGATTTGACCAAATAAACAGCAAGTTGAATCTATAATGCCATTTGCAGCTGTAATCACTTCCTGGTGTAACTGTTGTGACTTGAATGTTACTTCCTGTCACAAAGCTGTGTTTGCAGTCTATAATAATAAAACATATTCAAAAGCAGCAGCTCACCTCTGGACTGAAGCAGAGAGAAACACAACAGGAAGAAAACACTCTTTAAATCCATATTTCTTCTGTTTGATCGCAGACGTCTCTTTCTGTCGCTCTGTCTCTTCCTTGTTCTGGTTCAGTTTTGGTCATGTCCTATTTTTACAGACGTTTTACAGAAATACTGAAATGAAACGCCTCATCACAGTTTCCTGCAACTGCAACAACAATTAGAACTACATCTACTAACACAGTTTTTGTCTCTAACACAGACTGAGTAAAGACTTAATTCATGAAGAACAAAAAGTCTGGAATGATTCAGGCCTAGTGACCTGATTAAGAGCCCATGGTGTTAAGTTTTAAGGTATTAAGTGTTTTACTTTAGTTTCTGACACTCTGAGCCACCCCTCCTTTTCCTCCCCGTGCAAAGTCACTCCCCCTTCAGAGCTCTATCCCAACACAATCAGCGTGTGTCCCACTAATGAAACTCCTGCACATCACATCAGGTTTGTCCAGTTGCTGTGTTCAGTTTTGTGTCATGTTTTTGTTTATTTATGGAGAGTTGTCGTGTGGGAGCATGGGGGACGTAGGCTTGTGGGCGGAGCCTCGTACAGAATCTTACAGCCAATCGTAAAGAAGGTTTGAATCGGTACCGGGAGAGATCGCCAGATTACTCAAACATACATGGATGACTCTGAAACATCTTAGAACCTCGAGAAAGCTCAAAAGAAATGGACCATATATTTTATTTGTGCTGCCACAGTCGGTACTTTGGTTTATTCTTGATTTGAATGTTTTAGTCTTACAAAAGAAAAGTGACGTGTAGATCAGCTCCGGCCTTTTAGTTTGAGCTTTGTAGTTCCAGGGCAGGTGCACACAGTAAAAACACATTATTCTGATTCAAAGCAGAGTTTGAGAGGTCACCTTGTACTAAAGACACATGTAAGTTTACAGATTCACCAATGCAGAGTGAGGAAATACTGCAGAAGAAACAGATTAGAGCCCACGTGAAGGCGACCTAAAGAAATGTCAACTTTAGTTAAGCATTGTTGTGTTAATGTTGACTATTTATGATTGTATTGTATTTATGAACCTGTTGAATATGTGTACACTACTAAAACGAATGCTCGCTGCCTACAATGGCCCACAGCTAATACGAGAAAACACCATGACGTCACGGGAGCCATTTTGGTCGGCAAAAAGCGTCTGTATCAACATCGTCAACAGTTATCGTCGAGTTTTAACTTTTCAAAGTAACGTTTTTGATCGTCAACATTCAGTGACTTAGAGTAAGATGATGAAGTCGTGTCAAAACTATTAAATGTAAAACCGACTTCGAAGTAAGACGAGTTTTCTCATGACAGACAAACGCAACACGATTGTCAACACAAACGAGTGGCCACGCTGACTTTTTGCCAACCAGCCACTGAGCACGTGCAGAAAAGTCGGATGTAAACAAAAACGTTTTATCGTATCGTAGCCTAAGAGCCACTGTTGAGGTCTCTTTATGCTAAAACTGGTCCTGTTTATTTACTACAGGTCAGGTGGAGC